AATGTCCTGATTGTGGTAAAGGCTTTAGTTACAATTCCCACCTGGTAATACACCAGCGGACTCACACAGGAGAGAAACCCTTTGAATGTCCTGATTGTGGTAAAGGCTTCAGTTACAGTTCCAGCCTGGTAATGCACCAGAGGACTCACACAGGAGAGAAACCCTTTGAATGTCCATATTGTGGTAAAGGTTTCAGTATCAGTTCCAACCTCGTGAAACACCAGAGGACTCACACAGGAGAGAAACCCTTTGAATGTCCTGATTGTGGTAAAGGTTTTAGTATCAGTTCCAGCCTCGTGAAACACCAGAGGACTCACACAGGAGAGAAACCCTTTGAATGTCCTGATTGTGGGAAAGGTTTTAGTATCAGTTCCAGCCTTTTGAAACACCAGAGGACTCACACAGGAGAGAAACCCTTTAAATGTCCTTATTGTGGTAAAGGTTTCAGTGACAGTTCCAGCCTTTTGAAACACCAGAGGACTCACACAGGCGAGAAACCCTTTGAATGTCTTTATTGTGGTAAAGGTTTCAGTAAGAATTCCTGCCTGGTAACACACCAGAGGAGTCACACAGGAGAGAAACCTTTTGAATGTCCTGTTTGTGGTAAAGGTTTCAGTTATAATTCCAGCCTGGTAACACACCAGAGGACTCACACAGGAGAGAAACCCTTTGAATGTCCTTATTGTGGTAAAGGTTTCAGTGACAATTCCAGCCTTGTGAAACACAAGAGGACTCACACAGGAGAGAAACCCTTTGAATGTCCTTATTGTGGTAAAGGTTTCAGTGACAGTTCCAGCCTTGTGAAACACAAGAGGACTCACAGAGAAGAGAAATCATTTGAATGTCTTTATTGTGGTAAAGGTTTCAATAAGAATTCCAGCCTGGTAACACACCAGAGGACTCACACAGGAGAGAAACCCTTTAAATGTCCTTATTGTGGTAAAGGTTTCAGTAATAATTCCAGCCTGGTAACACACCAGAGGATTCACACAGGAGAGAAACCTTTTGAATGTTCTGATTGTGGTAAACGTTTCAGTAAGAGTTCCGGCCTGACGAGACACCAGAGGATTCACACAGGAGAGAAACCCTTTGAATGTCCTTATTGTGGTAAAGATTTCAGTGACAATTCCACCCTGGTAACGCACCAGAGGACTCACACAGGAGAGAAACCTTTTGAATGTCCTTATTGTGGTAAAGGTTTCAGTAAGAATTCCAGCCTGGTAACACACCAGTGGACTCACACAGGAGAGAAACCTTTTGAATGTCCTTATTGTGGTAAAGGTTTCAGTAATAATTCCAGCCTGGTGACACACCAGAGGATTCACACAGGAGAGAAACCCTTTGAATGTCCTGATTGTGGTAAAGGTTTTAGTATCAGTTCCAGCCTCGTGAAACACCAGAGGACTCACACAGGAGAGAAACCCTTTGAATGTCCTGATTGTGGTAAAAGTTTCAGTAACAATTCCAGCCTTGTGAAACACCAGAGGACTCACACAGGAGAGAAACCTTTTGAATGTCCTGTTTGTGGTAAAGGTTTCAGTAATAATTCCGACCTTGTAACACACCAGAGGATTCACACTGGAGAGAAACCCTTTGAATGTCCTTATTGTGGTAAAAGTTTCAGTACCAATTCTAGCCTGGTAACACACCAGAGGACTCACACAGGAGAGAAACCCTTTGAATGTCCTTATTGTGGTAAAGGTTTCAGTAACAATTCCAGCCTAGTAAAACACCAGAGGACTCACACAGGAGAGAAACCCTTTGAATGTCGTGATTGTGGGAAAGGTTTCAGGACCAATTCCAACCTGGTGAGACACCAGAGGACTCATAGGCGAGAAACCCTTTGAATGTCTTTATTGTGGTAAAGGTTTCAGTAAGAATTCCAGCCTGGTAACACATCAGAGGGCTCACACAGGAGAGCCCTCTGTATCAATTCCAGTCTGGTGAGACACCAGACGACTCACACTGGAGAAAAACCCTTTGAATTTTCTGACTGGGAAAAGTTTCGTTAGTAATTCTCACCTTGTGAGATACCAGAGGACTCACACAGAAGAGAAACACTTTGAATGTCCTGTGAAAAATGTTTCAGTCACAATTCCACTCTGGTGAGACACCAGAGGACTCACACAGGAGAGAAATCCTTTGAATGTCCTGACTGTGGGAAAACTTTCAGTCACAATTCCAGCCTGGTGAGGAACCAGAGGACTCTCAAAGGAGTAAGGACCCACCCCACTTTGCATCTTAAGAAGACAGAACTCTTGGAATATTTCTTCCAACAGGCATCTTTATTAAGAGAAGATGGTTGCAGGCATTCTAGACAGGACCTGGGGCCCAAGCCCTCCCATTCAAGGTTTTAAGTGGTTCCAAGCAGCCCCCCCACCCCACCGTCCTTCCAGTGACAATCCCCTTTTCCCTCACGGCCTGCGGAAGGGAGACTTCAGAGAGGAGTACATGAAAGGTGATGGGCCCTATTGTTATGGTTAGTCCTTTTGGTGATATCCACATTCAGTCCCTTTGAAGTTGTAACGAAGGAAGTGAGAGCCATAAAACCCCTTTGCTCATTCCCCTTCCCCTCCGTAGTATGACAGAATCCAGAGAGGGCAGAAATGGGGTTTTCCATAGTCGATAACTAGAGATGAAATATAATTGGATTCTGACATCCTGCCCCCTTAAAAATAAGATAGATCCACCTGAAAAGAAAACAAAATAGGTATAAAAGTTAGTCTGGCTTGTTAGGATACTCTGTGTGAAACCTCTTTAATAGCTTCAGGGCTCTGACATGACGTTTATGGACCCACTCGTTTTGTGAGGCAGGGAGGTGTTTACATGCTACTAGGTACTGAGTTGCTCCATGATATCTCCTAGAATCTAGGATTTCCTTTATCTCGAAGTGTTGTTCACCCTCCACCATGATTGGAGGTGGTGGGGGGGATTTTTGGCCGTAACGATGACTGATGCTCTCTTTTCAGCAAGCTACAATGAAAAACTGGGTGTATTTTCCTGAGATTTTTGGGTAATTCTAATTCTACTGTTACTGGGTTTATGATTCTTTTAATTGGAAAAGGCCCTATATATTTTGGTCCAAGTTTTTTACAGAGTTATAGGGACTTTAGGTATTTTGTAGATAAGTACACCATTTCTCCTATAATGAATGGTGTAGGCTCAACCCTTTTTTTATCGACTTGTGCTTTGTATGCCTGCCTACCTTCATCTAGTTCTTTTGTAACTATTGGCCAGGTGTTTTTTAATTGTTCCATCCATTCTTTCAGTGATGGGATGGCCGGTTCGTTTGGGGTTAGTTCTAGCATGGGGTTGAAACTTTGACCGGTGGCTATTTGAAAAGAAGTGTAACCTGTGCTGGAGTGCTGCATTATTGTAGGCAACTTCTGCGAAAGGGAGTAGGTCCCTCTAATCGGACTGTTGGAAATTAATAAAGCATCTTAAATATTGCTCAAGTACTGAGTTCGAATGTTCCACTTGTCCATTTGACTACTTGGTACCTATTGCTGGTCTATGACCCTAATAAAGTTATTATTATTATTATCTACTTGCACTTGCATGTTTTCAAAACTGCTAGGTTCGCAGGAGCTGAGTCAAGAATCGGAGCTCACCCTATCACATGGTACGTGGGTCTCGAACTGTCAACCTTCCGATTAATAGTCCAGCATCTTAATTGCTGGGTCATTGCGCTCCCGTTTGTTCTTCATAGGGATGCCAATTGCTGTTGGGTTTTTTGGGGGGCATTCTCTGTATGTTTTCCTTTAGACTTTTTATTACCAGGCTAACTAACACCATCAGTGGATGGCAGGGGTGAAGTTTGTTGGTTTACTGTATATATAATAGCTTGTCTTGCCAGCCTTGGTTGAGTTGAGGTTTGTTGTTTCTTCTTCATTGCTAAGAAGGATGCACTCTGGGCTGCATCATCATCATCATCATAATAATAATTGAACACCATTGGCATTGACAAATTCGCTATTAGTCAATTGCAAAAGGCGGCCTGACTAGGATGTGATGGCTATATGTCAGTCCCTGAGTGGTCCCTAAGAGGGATAAAAATTCCTTCCAAAATGCAGACGTAAATTGCACTCCCCTATCAGAGATGATGTGTTGGGGTGCCCCATGCAATCTGTAAATATGCTGGACGAAAAGTTTCGCTAAGGCTTTTGCGGCGGAATCTTTTGGCAAGGGATAAAGTGCACCTGTTTGGAAAACAAGTCCATGACCGTCCAGACAACAGTATTCCCATTGCTTTCTGGTAATTCCACTATAAAATCCATGGCTATTTCCCTCCAGGGGGCTGAGGGATTTGCCACTGTTTGTAACAGTCTGGGCGATTTCCCTTGCAACCTCTTTGCAGTTGCACACTTTGGGCAGCTGGGCATGTAACTTTCTATGTCCTTTTTTATGGATGGCCACCAAAATTGCCGTTTAATTAAATGTAATGTTTTTACAAATCCAAAATGTCCTGCTGATTTTGTGTCGTGGCAAAACTGCATGAATGTGACTCTTTGGGTTGTTGGTATATATAACTTTTCCCCCACCCAAGGTAGCCCCTCTATCATGGTGCACACGTGTTTATTTTTCTGGAACCATTCATCTGTTTCCAAACTTTTCCGGAATTCAATTCCGGTTTGGCTGCCCAGCTGTGGTTTTAATTTAGCTTGGGCTCTGGTGGTTACTGGCGCTGCCAGTTGTGATTCTACCATCATCGGTTTAGAGTCGGTGGCTCGCGTGCTGTTATATTGGGGCATGCGAGTTAGTGCATCTGCCAGGAAGTTCCTTCCCCCTGGCAAATGCTTGAGCGTAAATTGGAACTTGTGAAAATGCTGGGACCAACAGGCTTGCCTGGGGTTGAGCTTCCTGGGTGTTTTCAGGTCTTCCAAATTTTTGTGGTCTGTCCATACCTGGAAAGGGATTTTGTTGCCTTCAAGGAACTGGCGCCACGTGAGTAATGACCAACCTATCCTGTGTGCCTCTTTCTCCCACACGGGCCAACACTGTTCCGTTTCCGTGAGTTTCTTGGATGTATACACACAGGGTTGCAATACCCCTTCATCGTTTTCTTGTAATAGTACAGCCCCCACTGCCACATCACTTGCATCCGCCTGTATTACGAAGGGCTTATTCATGTCTGGGTGCAGAATTAGTCCACCTGGAAGGGAGAACCTTGCCGGGGGACTTTGCAAAAATTACCATGTCAGACGACGGAGCAGGGAAGGGAGAAAACTCCCCAGAAAG